GCGATAGTACTATCACTTGCCCTTCAATACAAATTTCCCTTTAATCTCAACTCTTCTTTATATATGTATGTATATGCATATTTATATATTGTGTGTAAGTATTTAAATATTCGCTTTTAGGTATTTCATGGTTTCTCTTGGGTATATTGGACTGGTAGATACCCTGCAATTGTCTTTAAGCTAAATAGATATCCGCGAGAATTAGTCATTAATTAATCAAATTAAATAGTATCATTATCAAAAGTAGGTTACCCTACAAGTAAATAGTAAACAAATTTCATTTGTTATAAAATTCAACAATAACAATTTTTGAAAATTTTTATTTACATATTATTGAGTCTATAAAAATGTAAACAATAATTGTTGATAATTTGTAAACAAATAACAGCAGTTTACAGTAGGACAAATAGCTAAAAATATCACCGCCATCAATTTGAGGTAATTAACTTGATTGAATGGGAGTTGATCAACATTTAGATACCCTGTATTTAGTACTATGCCATAAACTAAAGCACATACAAAAGGTACAAAGTTATAGAGTTTCATTTTGTAGATTCGCTAAGTATTTGGCTATTGTCAAAAAGTTGATTAACTTTGGCACACCCTCAACTACTTTTGAGCTCTAAGACAGCTAGCCGTAATATTTCCAATCAAAAGTGAGTTGCGTTCAAAGGGACCGTTGCAAGTTGTTGCTCACCTTTCGCGTTTGCCCTTTTGTTGCAATTTCACGTTGGACGGGAGCATGCATAACATAAATTTCGCCTTTAAATGCATGGAATATAGCGAAAATTCTATGCATTTTATATAATGCCATTGCCAGTGGCCATGCAGCCACATATATCTGTATCTCTATATATGTATGCATATATGTGTATAGCATATATTTATTATGCTCGTATGCAGATCTGCCTTTGCATTGGACGCCAAATGCATTCGGAGGCATCTTTGAGCAGGCACAGCCCCTTCGTTTGCTCCCATAGCACTCGTCACTCGTCGCCGATACTCCTCTCTTTACTCCCGCTCCCTAATCCAGAGTGCGCACTCAGCACGCGTTCATTTGATGCGTGGCAGTATGGGAAAGAAATATTCTGCATGTAAATATAAGCTGGCAACTAGGAACTGTCTTTCTTTTTCATACGCCGTGGTCGACATGCATAAAACATGCCACATGTATCAGCTCGACCCACGCATGGAGAGACTGAGAGAGAGAGAGAGAGAGAGTGAGAGAGAGAGAGAGAGAGTTAGCATAAAATTTGTCAGTCGCCAGGGCAAGGTGCGTGCCGTTCAAACACACAATACCAATGGCCAAGGGCAGGACCTGGGGATTCATGGCAACCAAGGACCCAACTGTTAGCTGTTGCCATTTCCGTCTCATTTTCAATAAAGCTCGCAAAACAATTTTAATAAACAAAAGAAATAATTTTCAATGCACTTTGTTGCAATAGCAGCAGCAACGGCAGCAGCAGCAGCGAGACACATGCGCCCCCATTGCTCTTCTAGCCGGAGAGACAAACAGAGACAGAGACACAGACAGAGAAAGCAGGAGCAGGAGCAGGGCGGCTGGGCCAGCCTTAGAGAAAGCAATACCAAAAATTGGTCCTCCAGCAACGTTTCACATAGTTGGCAGCAAAAGTTACGTGCGACAGCCACCCAGTCCACGTTCAACTTTCCGTGGCACTCACACCAACACGACAAATTCCAAACACAAAAAAAGAAGTTAGACTAAAAAACAATATAAAATATACCACTGTAAAATAAAATAAAACTATCACGATTTGAGGTCTACTTAGTCGACGTCGGGCATACTCTAACAAATTGAATAAATAAATGAATGACACTTTGCTTGACGAACATTATGCAACAGTATCTTATCTCTTATTCGTTCTCTCACTTAGTCTCACGCCTTAGCTCGCTTTCTTCGCTTCTCTATGTTACTAAAATTAACTGTTCTCTTACTCTCTCTTTTTCTCTTCGCATTTTACATTTTTGTGCATCTCAGTTTGTAGTGCGCTTTCTCTTTTCTTTTTTTCTCATTTTCCTTCTTTCTCTTGCGCTCTATCAATATCGATTTTAATTGGTTGGTATTTTCTTTATTTTTCTCTCATATAAATGAAAGATAATTTATATAAATATTTTTAATCCTCGTTATCTCTTTTTGGCTACTTTTGTTATATCTCTTCCCTTTATTTTATCTTTCACCAACTTCATTTCTTAAACTTTCTCCAGCTTCCTCTCTGTCTAACACGCATGTCTGTGTCTTTCTATTTCAAATTTATTTTTTATCATAATTATTTTAATTTTTATTAAATGAATATTTCGCAATATCTTTGATTTCATCGTTTGTCTCTCTCTCTCTCTCTCTCTCTCTCTCTCGCTCTTCCTTTCTTTCTATTTGAAATAAATATCTCTTTGACTCGCTCACTCTTTTTTAATAGGCGTATTTTAAATTTTTTTTAGTTTAGAAAAGAAAGGATAATAAATAAAGAACATTTATCTCGAAATATTTCTTATTGAATAGAAACGTAAACATTTTAGTTATAGTTAAAAAAAATAAAAAATAAAGACCATTTCCATTTCCTATTCACTCCCATAGCTAATAGGCTTTTTGAGTACTATCTCACTCGACTGCTCTGCGCTGGCATTGAAAAAATTGCCGAACCTCTGGCTGTTGCGCCCTTCCTTGCTGGGGCGGGGAATCACTGGGTGCCTGGCAGTGTTGCAGCAAGTTCTGTTTCGAAATTGGCTTATTTGGTATTTTTATGCGCTCGGCATACACACACGCACACACACACACACTAATACACACGCACAGCTACATGCCCCGCGCTGGCGTTTGCCTTTGTTTTGTAATTGTTTTGAAAGGGGACGGCAGTAGGCGGCAAAAGTTAACGTCATTGTTGCTACTGTTATTGTTGTTGTTGCTGTTGTTGTTGCTGTTGCTGCTGCTACTGCGATCCCGACAAGGCTGCAGCCGCAGCAGAAGGACGACGTCCTGGACGTGCAGAACGACATTAGCGGCAACTGTTTTGAGTGCTCCTTCCGTTGTCGGTTCGTTCTTTATAGTCGACTACCCGTTCGTCTACACCCACTCAGCCACTCAGCCACTCACCCACTGGGCCACCCACCCGCCGTCCATTCGCTTGGCTTTCAAGTGGCATTCGAGTGGCAGCCATTGTGCACATTATGACGGAACTTTGTGTCGCAAAATGCAAATATTTGAAAGGTAATTGAATTTGAACTTTGCCGCTCGAGGTTGCCCATAGTTCTTGTTGTTGGTCGAGTTTTGGGCTATTGCCTGCTCTATGGGCTTCGGGCGGGCGTCCTTAAAGTGCGAGCATCGACGCTGGCTGGCTTAAAGCGCTGCACTTGCCAAATATTTGCCAATCGGTTTAAATGTTTTATTTACATGATCCAAACGGTCAACACAACGGCTATCCAAAAACAAACCGAATCGGGCCCCAAAATCAAACTGAAACGTCACTAGCTCGCACTCTCTCTCTCTCTCACTCATTCGCTCTGTTTGCCATACAAATTATAGCCAGTTTACACTCGCATATGGCCCAAAAGCAACAACCTCACCCACAGTTGGCATATTTTCGAGACCGAAGCCAACGGCATTTTCAAAGGCATGAAATGTGCATGCAATTTGATCCAATACAAACCCCAGGGGCCAATGCGGGGCTAACAACATATACATACACACCTAAATATATGTGTCTATATGTGTATATGTCTGAAGTGTCTTTAGTCTGAATGTCTGTCTGGTCAAGCCGCAGGTGGATTCAACAATAAATTGTACTGAAAATAAACAATTATCCATCTAGACATTGCGCTTGACTCGCTCTCTGTGTTGGGGCAATTGCCTTTAGGGCATTTACTCACTTTCATTTCATAATTATTTGCATATATTTTGAGATATGCGTGCTTATGTATTCATTTATATTATATTTTTATTCCGCTATTTTAAGCTTTAAAATAACATTTTGTGTTAAAATAAAATATTTACAAAATTGAATTGAATTGAATTTTGATTAGTTACTTACTTTATAGTAAGTAATTATTATTAATTATTTTTAGATGTATATATATTTTCTCCATTAAGGTAATTTAACCTATTTTTAAACAATATTTGCACATTTTTCTAATATTAAAATTTTTGCATTAATTTTATTGCTGGTAAATTTGAATTTAAATGATCTCTATTAAAATTTTTGTAAATGATGATAATTATTTGAGATTATTACAATTTTATTACGGTATCGCTTTTAGCAAATTGTTTATTTATTTGTTTTTAAATGTGTTATTTAAAATGTATTAATTTAAAACAAATATTTTTTTGCACATATTTAATAATTATGATTTTATATAATTAATATTTTTAGGATTTGGGATTTGTTTATATCTAAATTAAATGAGTAATAATCATTAAAAATAATTAATTAATTATTTTCATTAAATTTTTAATAACAATTTAATACTTTGAAATATTTTTCTATATTTCAAGTTTATTTATTTTAATTTATTTTTAAATTATTTTAATATATTTTCTATATTTAGATTACATTTAAAAACAAACTTAAATATGCTTACAATTATTTTTCCGTTTTCCGATTCTCTCTCTGTGCATTCTATTGTCATTTAAAATAATTGTATTCCTTGTTAATCCATTAGCTTTATCCACGCAATTTAATTCCGCTTAGACTGGCTGTGCATAAACATGAACATAAATTAACAAAACAGAAGAAACAACGAATATTATTATTCTAAATTAGAAAAAAATGGAAAACTCTTTCAGGCTGTTCACAAAGGACCGAAGCTAACTGAACAAGTTCTCTCAGTAACTTGGGGCTGAAAAGATCTGTAGAAAAACTTTATTTTAATGCCAACATTATGAGAAAAACTTGTCAAAGCGGAAAAGAAATGCAAAGAAAATGATAGAAAGTGGGAAAATCGCACACGCCCACCTCGAAGGCTGGGCTGGTCAGATGATGCTCAGGCCAACAGACATAAAACGCACAGAGCAAACCTAATTAGCACAACAACAACAACAACAACAACAACAACAACAGCACGCACAAAGGGCACAGGTCAAATGGGTGTTTGTGCCGGAGGCGTGACACTGTGACGCATTGCAGCAACAGCAGAAAGCACTAAGTCTAGGTCCATGTCCAGCCACAGCAGTTCCAGAGACCGCAGAAGCGTCAGCTCGTCTATTGCTCTTAATTTCCTGTGCTAAATATGAGGCCAGCGGGTGGGTGCTGAGTGGGCTGGCAATTGAAATTGAAATATAATTAAATTTCACACATAGCCGCACAAGCGTGGAAAAGAAAAAAAAAAAAAAAAAAAAAAAAAAAAAAATCTGTTGCACATTTTGTTGATCGTAATTATGAGAATGAATGACAGACGAACGCAACAGCACAATGTGGTTCAAGTGCTGCACAAGCAAAGTGCCTCGCGTTGTCCTTGTGCGTCAAGTCAAGTGCAGGGACAATAAAGGACTATGCAAAAATGCGAAATAAGTGCATGAAAAATAAATGCATAGCTGCAGCTACACTGCAAACAATTGCAGGGCTCAAAAAAAAGCAAAGGGTAGCTATTTAATAAAAAATTTTAATTCTAGGGAATTTAACTTAAATGCAAAATTTATTATGAAACTGCTTTATTTTATTTTTCTATTTTTATTTTTCTTTTTATTAATTTGTTGTTTGGCTGTATATTAAAAAGAACTTTTGCAAAAATTATAGATAACAAGTAAGAAAGCTCTAGTCGAGACTGCTCGACTACGAGATCCCC